TATATATAATAAAAGAAAAAGAAGAACAGCAACTTTCTTGCCCCGACCGGTTTCTTTCTTTCTATAAGAAAATAACTATATATATTAATCTAAACCTTGGAAATTTTAACTTAAAGGCCACACATATATACCCTACATATATTCAGCCATCAAACGTCCTACTGCTAAACACACCCAGGCTAAAAGGGTGTACCATGCTTAGGTGCAAAACATGCTTAGGAGCTAAATGCGTTGAAAAATTCAGACAAAGCAGGCACTTGAATATTTTTACAGTGTACATTATAATTGTGTACATGTGTTTTGTACCAAAAAAAAAAAAAAAAAAAAAAACATTTCAGGTCATTTTAATGTCTTTTCATGCAAGAATGTTGTCTAACAACTGAGGTTGATACAATGTTGTTATCTGACGTTGATCCAACTTTCAAATCCAATGTTTATCCAACATCTTATCAATGTTATGGTTCAACCTTATTTCAACGTTAAAACAACATAATTTACCCTCTTGGATGCTGGCAATATGTGACCTTTAAATTGACCTTTGACCTAATTTGCACCATGAAGTGAACTTTCTACAATGTTTCTGTTCCTTATATCTCCAAAACAGGGAGAGACTTGCCCATAGTTACTATTGAACTTGAATAGGAAGTCATATACTGGCAATCTAAATGTGACCTTTAAATTGACCTTGGACCTACTTTTCACCATGAACTGAATTTTGATACTTTTCTGTCCAATATATCTCCAAAACTAGCAAAGATATGCCCATAGTTACTATTGAACTTTAATAAGAAGTCATATGCTGGCAATCTGTGATCTTGAAATTGACCTTTGACCTACTTTTGGCCATGAACAGCACTTCACAAATTTGGATTTAATCTTAAACTTTTCCCCATGATTTTGTTTTAAATGATAATTTTCATTCTACTAGTCCTGTGAAAGGCAGCAATTTTTATGTACAAGTAACTTGGTTTCTATTGGTTCTTCTTCCCACTTATGGCTTATAAAGGCAAGCTTTGATCTTACGTAGTGAAGGGTGGATTCTAGAAACAATGCTTATCTGCACAGTAGATGGTTTTGAAAATGAACCAACTACTATTCCAATGATGCACATTTGACCGTTCGACAATTTCTGATACACTACAGATCCAGAGTCCCCTGGCTCAGAAAATGGGTTATCATCTGTGCTTGAAACACGTATCATATTTTTGAGGACTTTACTACGACCAGATGTCTCATCCATGATGGTAGCACATCTACAAAAACCATTCTCGGAGCAGAGTTTCCCCTTTGTCAACCCAGTGGCTGGCCCATATTTGTACACATAGATAGGTTCATCTGGGAGCTCATATATATCTTTAGTAATCACATCACTGAATGATGTTTCCTGTGATTGTAATGGAAACAAGTGGGCTTCAGCATTTCTATATAATTGCACAAGTGCAATGTCTACACCACATTTAATCTCCTTACCATTCCCTCTGTCATAGTCCACATTATCTACATGACATTTGCTAACATCTCCACATATTTTCAGAGTCTCGTTGTTTCTGACATATACAGGTGTGCCAGTAGCTGTTTCAGGAGTTCTGTCATAAGGGCAAACTACATGGGCACATGTAACAAATGCCTGTGGCCTGGTTGATGTATGATCACCCTTATCATTCTCTACAAAAATACCAAGACTACCATGCCCAGCACATTCTACATCACAACCAATATACAAATAAGCTTTATCTGTGTTTCCTACACTGTCAGCATTAAGTGAAAATGTTCCTTCCCTAACTTCAACTGGATACTCCCCAAGTTTTTTTGGCAAGCCTAAAATATTTGTCATGTCACTGCAGTATATTGCAATACAAGGTTTGTTCTTTCCATCTTCATCTGCTTGTTCTCTTGAAATAGATATATCTATACATGAAATGTTGGGAAATTTTTCAAATAGCTCATCACAATCCTTTTCAATAATAGCTCCCATTTTCTCCCTTTCATCACGGGGAATACACTCTCTTGTCATAATATCTAAGTCTTCTTTCTCCATGGCTCCTTTAGCTATGAAGAATGAACCAGAAATAAAACAGATCAAGATTATATATACATTTAGTTACAGTTTTCTGCATTAAAATACAATGATCATAATTTGTTTTATTGTTTCAAAGTATTTGCATTAAAATATGATAATCATAATTAGTTTTATTGATACTTTGAAACACTTTGAAATATCTAGAAGACATTGAAGACCACATGTACCTTTGGGCATTAGCAGCTCTTCTTCAGGTTGTTGTGGTGTAATTGAAGCACTTGCAAGTGGTGCATGTGACATGCTGGGCCCTGCAAGTCTGAAAATATAATACCATTTCTTTTAAATAAATACTCAGAAACAATTTTGATATGTGTATAATAGTTTATAAAGGAAGTGACATGAAAAAAACAACAACTACATTTGAGCCATCACTGTTATGGTCCTTTACATATTTAAACTCGGTACATTTAGGATATTCCTGTAATTTTTTTACCTTACATGTAAATTATTTACC